AACCCGGCGCCACGGCACGAGGAGGCCCCGCGCAGCCGAGGACAAGAAAGCCCACCTTCCACACAGGAACGCAGCCTTGGACAGCCGCCCCTGGGCGCCCAGCGGGGAGGGCACCGGGAACCCGAGCAGGGGGAGAGACCTCCAGGACCCGTCCAATCGTGGCAGCCCCTCACCTCGGTGCCAATCCTCGAACCAGTCACTGGCATGCGACACGATGGTTCGCAACGCGGTACTGCAGGGCGGCAAATTCAACGAGCGCGCCAGCCCGCACTTCTCCAGCGTTTCCACTAACGCCGCCAAGTGCTCGAACTGCGATGCCACGCATCCGATATTATCGGGACCGCCCCGGTCCATGGCCAGGCCCATCTCGGCTGAAAAGGGGATCGCCGGCAACTGCCGAATAACACTTGCACATTTTTTGGCGCGCCTGCAGTCCGTCTCCTTCAAGCAACCCCTTTTCAACGTTCCTCGCGGCTCCACTCTGTTCAGCTTATCGTTGACGACGCACCACAAGTCCTCGTCTAACATGTTCATATGATCGCACTCAAACACAGATTGATTTCTGTCGTCATCATATTGTCGTTTAACTGCTGGCGTCCTGTTGTGTTCAGCGGCCGTTAACCGACCGCTCACTATCCGCGCCACGTCATCTTCATCCTTGTCTAACACACCGCCCATCGTCTCCAGCTTCTTGTTGAGGTTTTTGAATGCATTGCGGTAACTCGGCTTGACCTGTGCAAGGGCGTTCGTTCAGGAGCTTCGCGATCCATTATCTGAACTTGCTTCGGACACCAACGAATGTCTTTATTTGCTGCACGGCCTTGAATTCGCAACCGGTTTGGTACCCAGATGCACTGGTTCGTGTCTGCTCTCAACTATGAACTCTGCTATCTTGGTACTGCTGTCGAATGTGTTTCCGTGTACGTCCACTTGGTCTTCTAGGTACTCGAACCTTTCATTGAGTCTTCTCGAATCGCTATCCGCGTAAATATTCCTACTCATGTCACTTAATAACAGCGAATTGTTCATTTGCTGGGCCATGAGCACGCAATACGCCATAGATCTCTTAACCGGTAACCGTTATCATCCTGGCGGCGATTTGTCGTTCAATGAATCCTGGTCCAACAACGGCCGCGTCAGCGGCAACGCCCGCCATTGCTCACGAGAGAACCTCGTTCCGCTATCATGCAAATCCTCCAGGAGGACAAGCACGCGAACGATAAAGATGCTTACCGATATGAACGTTAACGATCAATCACTTGAGACAAACGGCGTCGATCGCGACGCACGCTCGGTAACAGTAAGTCTACCAGTCTTCTAACCCAGTTACCCTTGTGATAATTCAAACCTCCCTCCTCCTCATCCTCCTCCTTCTCCTCCTCCTCTTCCTCTTCCTCCTCCATCCTCCACCTCCTCTTGCTCCTCCTCCTCTTCCTCCTCTTCCTCCTCCTCCTGCGCCTCATCCCCTCCTGCTTCTCCTCCCTCCTCCCTCCTCTTTCTGACCCCTCGGGTTGCATCGCAGGCGCTGACCGTCTGACCTCGGCCTCATCCTCCTCCTCCTCCTCCTCCCTCCTCCTCCTCCTCCTCCTCCTCCTCCTCTTCCTCCTCCTCCTCCTCCTCCGTCTCCTCCGCGGCGACACCGACAGACAGCGAGTCCTGTTCACAGTGAACAAGGGCACAATTCTTTTCGTGCCGTCACGACACCAGCGCTGGTTCCTGACACCCGCGTGGATTACTCAGCCCTGGACGATCGGCGACCTCTCGATTGCCAGATCTTACAACTGGGCCGACTCTCGGCCACTGGCGGCGTTGAAGACCTCCCCGAGCCCACCGAGAGCCCCTAGAGACAGAAAATGGGAAGAGGAACGCCCGCCAGGGTTTTTGCACGGCGCGAGGGGGTCTGGGTCTGGGAGGTGTGTGCAGGGCGCGCGCGGCCACGGAGAGGCGAGCGCGCGGCCGTCGGGAGGCGGGATCGGCTCGAGGGCGCCTCGGCGCACGGGGCGGGGTCGCCGCCGCGTCGGCACGACCGCACCGACGGCGACGCACCGATGGCGACCGCGCCGCGCCGACCGCACCCGATGGCGACCGCGCCGACCGCGCCGGCGGGAGTCCTCGGGCGGCGGAGGCGCGCTCGACGTCACGAGCCACACAGCCGAGCCCGCGCCGCCCTCGCCGAGCTCGCCGGGCGGCCCGCCCGCCTCGGGGCTCTCTGGCGCGAGGCGTGCGTCGAGCTCCTCCACCCAGGAGCCGTCCTCGCCAGCGGGGTCGTCGGGAGTCGTCGTCGCCGCGGGTCGTCGTGGGTCGTCATCGTCGGAGGTCGTCTTCGTCGGGAGCCGGGAAGTCTTCGTCATCGTCGTGGGTCGTCGACGTCGTCGTCGCCGTCGGGGGTCGTCATCGTCGTCGGGGATCGTCGTCGTCGTTGTCAAAGGTCGTCGTCGACGTCGTCGTCGTGGGTCGGCGTCGTCGTCGTGGGTCGTCGTCGGGGCCGTCGCCGGGAGTCGTCACCGTCGCCGTCGTCGTCGTCAAACTGTCCTGGCCAGGGGGTTCGTCGAGTCGTCGTCGTCGTCGGAAAGTCGTAATCGTCATCGTCGGGAGCCGGGAGTCGTCGTCTTCGGGGCCGTCGTCGTCGTCGTCGTCGTCGTCGTCGTCGGGGCCCTCGTCGTCGTCGTCGACGTCGTCGGGGCCGTCGTCGTCATCGTCGTATCAGACCTCGTCGACCTCAGGATTCGTCGTGGTCAGGATTTGTCGTCGTCAAGGGTCGTCGTCGTCGTCTGCGTCGTCGTCGGGGCCGTCGTCGTCGGGAGCGGTCGTCGTCGACGGTCATCGTCATCGTCTTCTTCGTCGTCGTCGGGGCCGTCGTCGTCGTCGACGTCGTCGTCGTCGAGCCGTTCTCGTCAAGGGGGTCGTCGGGAGACGTCGCCGTCAAAGGGGCCTTCGTCGTCGTCGGCGTCGTCGGGGGTCGTGGTCACGAGCCAGGAGTCGTCGTCGTCGTCGTCATCGTCGTCATCGTCGTCGTCGAGCCGTCGACGGGAGTCGTTGCCGTCGCCGTCGTCTTCGTCGTCGAGCCGTCCACGCCAGGAGTGTCGTTGGGAGTCGTCGTCGGGGGTCGTCGTCGTCGTCGTTGTCGTCGTGATCGGGGGTCGCCGTCGTCTTCGTCCACGTCGTCGGGAGTCGTCATCGTCGGGAGCAGGGAGTTGTCGTCGTCGGGGCCGTCGTCGTCGTCGTCGTCGTCGTCAGGGCCGTCGTTGTCGTCGTCGTCGTCGTCGACGGGGCCGTCGTCGTCATCATCGTCGTCGTCGGAAAGTCGTCGTTCTCGGGAGTCGTCGTCGTCAGGATTTGTAATCGTCGTCATCTTGGTCGTCGTCATCATCGGCAGTCGTCGTCGTCGTCTTCCGTCGTCGTCGTCGAGAGCCAGACGTCATCGTCGTCGTCGGGAGCCGGGAGTCGTCGTCGTCGGGGGTCGTCGTCGTCGTCGGGGGTCGTCGTCTTCGTCGTCGTCGGGGCCGTCGTCGGGAGTCGTCGCCGTCGCCGTCGTCGTCGAGCCGTTCTGGTCAGGGGGGTCGTCGGGAGTCGTCGTAGTCGGGGGTCGTCGTCGTCGGAAGTTGTCGTCGGGAGTCGTCGTCGTCGTCGGGAGCCAGGGGTCGTCGAGGTCGGGGCCGTCGCGGTCGTCGTCGTCGTTGGGGCCGTCGTCGTCGTCGTCGTCGGCGTCGTCGGGGCCGTCGTCGTCGGGAGCGGTCGTCGTCGACGGTCATCGTCATCGTCTTCTTCGTCGTCGTCGGGGCCGTCGTCGTCGTCGACGTCGTCGTCGTCGAGCCGTTCTCGTCAAGGGGGTCGTCGGGAGACGTCGCCGTCAAAGGGGCCTTCGTCGTCGTCGGCGTCGTCGGGGGTCGTGGTCACGAGCCAGGAGTCGTCGTCGTCGTCGTCATCGTCGTCATCGTCGTCGTCGAGCCGTCGACGGGAGTCGTTGCCGTCGCCGTCGTCTTCGTCGTCGAGCCGTCCACGCCAGGAGTGTCGTTGGGAGTCGTCGTCGGGGGTCGTCGTCGTCGTCGTTGTCGTCGTGATCGGGGGTCGCCGTCGTCTTCGTCCACGTCGTCGGAAGTCGTCATCGTCGGGAGCAGGGAGTTGTCGTCGTCGGGGCCGTCGTCGTCGTCGTCGTCGTCGTCGTCAGGGCCGTCGTTGTCGTCGTCGTCGTCGTCGACGGGGCCGTCGTCGTCATCATCGTCGTCGTCGGAAAGTCGTCGTTCTCGGGAGTCGTCGTCGTCAGGATTTGTAATCGTCGTCATCTTGGTCGTCGTCGTCATCGGCAGTCGTCGTCGTCGTTTTCCGTCGTCGTCGTCGAAAGCCAGACGTCGTCGTCGTCGTCGGGAGCCGGGAGTCGTCGTCGTCGGGGGTCGTCGTCGTCGTCGGGGGTCGTCGTCTTCGTCGTCGTCGGGGCCGTCGTCGGGAGTCGTCGCCGTCGCCGTCGTCGTCGAGCCGTTCTGGTCAGGGGGGTCGTCGGGAGTCGTCGTCGTCGGGGGTCGTCGTCGTCGGAAGTTGTCGTCGGGAGTCGTCGTCGTCGTCGGGAGCCAGGGGTCGTCGAGGTCGGGGCCGTCGCGGTCGTCGTCGTCGTTGGGGCCGTCGTCGTCGTCGTCGTCGGCGTCGTCGGGGCCGTCGTCGTCATCGTCGTCGGAAGTCGTCGTCCTCGGGAGTCGTCGTCAGGGTTTGTCGTCGTCAGGGGTCGTCGTCGGCACCGTGGTCGTCGTCGTCGTCGGGGCCCTGGGCTGGGGTGACGCATGCGGCTGGTGCCACTGAGACCTCAGGTGGAGCCCCCTGAGGGGCCACGAAACGCTGCGCTGGGCGGACGTAGCACGCAGGCGGCGACACTGAGGCCTTCGGCGGGGCCACGAAACGCTGTACTTGGTGGGGGTGACACATGCGGGCCGTGGCACTGGGGCTTCGGTGGAGCTCCCTATGGGGCCACAAAACGCTATACTGGTGGGGGTGAGTCAGCGGGCGGTGCCATTGGGTTTTCGGTGGAAACCCTACGGGGCCACGGGACGCTGTACTGGGCGGGAGTGACACATGCGGGCGGTGCCACCGGGGCCTTCGGTGGAGCTCCCTATGGGGCCACGAAACGTTGCAGTGGGTGGGGCAGAGGCAAGGAGGGGGAGGAGGGGGAAGGAGGAAAGCATGAGGGACGCGGGGCGCTGCCTCCTCAAAACGAAGACCCAACGCAACAGGTGGTTAGGAATTTCGCACACGGGACCAATCGCGAAGTGCGTTCGACGAAGGGAGGAAGAAGGAAAAGGGTAGGGTCAGGAGGAGGGGCGCAAACCGACATGGGAGGCCAGGGCCAGATGCGGCGGGGCGAAGCGGCGCCGCGTCGCACGACGCGACGTGACCCCGTCAATGGCACGACGCACAAACCCCAATCAACGCGAGGCGTCTTCTCGTCCTCAGTTACGGTTCGCGCTCCCCGAAAGGACGCACAGGCGAATGATTTTACGCCGAGTGGGAACCATAGCACGTTGGTAAACCATCGAACTACAATGCGCCACGAATGCCAAACTGACTGCTGTTGCACCAGCGTCGAAAAGCAATATGTCGCCAACGAAATCCCGCAGTCGCGCCACATGTCGCCCACGCTCTCTGGGAAGCCAAAATTCGGGACAGAGACGCAAACCACGGCCCGCGCAAGGGCTACGCACGGGCAACGCACCGAACGAAACTTACGGGGGGGTTCATCTTACTGGGCCTTCACCGGGGAGGGGGGGCGATCGGAGGAGGAGAGAAGGGAGGATGAGGATGAGGAGGAGGAAAAGGACGAGGAGGGGGACGAGGAGGAGGAGGAGGCGGACGACGACGACGACGACGACGACGAAGACGACGAAGGAGAACGACAACGACGCACGACGCATGACGCATGACGATGACGAAGCACGACGACATCGACAGCGCAGGATAACGGCTACGGCAACGACAGCGGGAACGGCCTCGTCGCTCGCCTCGCTGACAAAGTCCCAGCCGCGCTCGGCGGCCAATTGCCGGTCCGCCTCGTGCACAGAAGGCCACTGGGAGTCCTCTCGGGGGGGGGAGGGAGTAGGGAAGAGGAGGACGGATGGACAGGGAGGAGCAAGGGAAGGATGAGGAGGAGGCGGAGGAGGAGGAAGAGGAGGAGGAGGAGGACGAGGGGGGGAGCAGGAGGAGCAGGTGGATGAGGAGGAGCAGCAGGAGGAAGAGAGAGAGGGAGGCGGGAAGGAAGAGGGAGGAAGGAGGAGGCAGGACCGAGGAGGGGGGATGGAGGAGGAGGGAGGAGGGAGAGGAGGAGGAGGAGGAGGAGGACCAGTGTAAACCCAAGAGTCATCAACGATGTCGGAGTAAAACCTCCCTCCAAGCTCCCTCTTCATAGGCCCCTACATCGGTTCATTTCCATTGATGGAACTGCCTCGGTGGACGACACTCGTTTGAAGACCCTGAAGCATGCTAAAACACTGTTCTCGGGATCCCAACACCACGGATCAATATGGCTGTTTGCGTCCTGGCGATCCTGAATCGCGCCAGGACGCCATTCCTAGGACTCCAACACAGCGAATCAACGTAACTGTTGCACCCGCATAGCCCTGAATTCTTTCAAAACACTATTTCTGGTACGTTGATGATGGGAATCCGTGAAACTCCTGCAACTTTTTAGAACGAATGTGCGCGGCGCTGAGGAAGAGCCACATGTTGAAAAGAAACCGCCCTCGATTCGTGAAACTCTTGCTGTTTGTGTTAACGGAGGTGCGCGGCGCTAAGGCCAGAGCCATATTTTGAAAACCACTCGCCCTCAATCCGTGAAACTCTTGAAATTGTTGAAATCGAATGTGCGCGGCGCTAAGGCGAGAACCACAGTTTGAAAACCACCCACCCTCAATCCGTGAAACTCTTGCAAGTGTTTAAAAACGAATGCGCGCCGCGCTAAGGCGAGAGCCACATGTTGAAAACGACTCGCCATCAACACCGTGAAACTCTTGCAGCTTCAGAGTCAAAATTTGTGAGGTCTCAGGCGAAACGCCCGGCCCGCCCTAAAAACTGGCCTCGGGGCGCGACAAGGAGGAAGTATTCCTAAGGAAAAGGAATGGGGGAGGAGGAGGAGGAGGAGGAGGAGGAGGAGGAGGAGGAGGAGGAGGAGGAGGAGGAGGACGAGGAGGAGGAGGAGGAGGAGGAGGAGGAGGAGAGGGGGAAGGAAGGGGAGGAGGAGGAGGAGGAGGAGGAGGAGGAGGAGGAGGAGGAGGAGGAAGAGGAAGAGGATGTACAGCACGCTTCCTTTAGGGGTGGAAGGTCAACGGAGTCCCCTCGCAACCACCAAAACACTGCGGAAGAACGCCAAGGAAACAGGCGAAGGGGTCCAGCAGGCCAGAAGGGCGGCAGAGGGCTGCCTTGCGCCGCACTCTCCGAGAGAGGAGCTAGGAGAGAGGAGGAAGAGAGTGAGGGACAGAGTAAGGGAGGGAAGGAGAGAGGGATTCCTATTTTATCATCGCGCGCGGTGACCAGCTGCTAGGCGGGGTGCGCGTTCCAATTTCACACCTCAGGGAATGTCCCCTCCGATTTCGGTCGGAAGCCCCGTTTCAGGCGACTGAGATCATCATTGGCAGCTTTACGCATGCCACTGCGACAGACGAAAACGGCCGCGGAGAAACGGCAGGAAGAACACCAAACAATGCCAGGCTCTGCACTGGAAAACCAGCACTAACAGCAGAGTACAAGCTTTGCAGAACAGGCTACCAAGGCCCTCCTGAGTGGCCAACTGTACCGCGCAAACCCCCACACCTCAGAAATGAAACGCGCATCGCATGTGAGTGTGGAGAGGCAAATTTGGCAAGTCGAGCGGCGCGTCAAGCAGCCAACCGCGCTCAAACAGTGCCAGGCTAGATCCGCGCACAATGCCGGGAAGAGGGCCTCAGCGCATGCGCCTGCAACGCCATGTCTGGCACGCTACAACAAAGCAGACCTCTGGCAAGATCCACCCCCGACTTTGGCGGGAAGCCCCTTTTGAGACGACACGAAGCACATGTCCCGTCACGTCAGGGAGTCCTGCAAGGCCCCTAGAGTCCAGAAGCATCAGAGCAGTGCCACCCACAGATCAAACAGAACGGCACTCCTCGGTAGGCTGCCGTCTTGTGAGTAGGGCGGCAAGGCTCCACAACAGGATGATCGCAACCCATATCGGAGGTTGATAGACCTCCTACCCTGACACGTCGATTAGCGAATTGGCCGTTTTCGGTTCGTGAGAGGGCGTCGCGGCCCCAATGTTTGCGGGTCCAGGTCCGTCGGTTTTGGTCCTGGGCCGTTTTCACTCAAGGGTGATTTACTAAAGAGATGTTTGTCCACCGCCGACCATACCATTTCCGACAGCCCCACATCATCAGGTGGCGGCGTAGGCTCTCTCCCAATTGGAGCCGATGCCCTCGGCGGGAGAGCTCGAACTCTCTTTGCTGAACAAGAGCGCGAGGTTCACAGGGAGAAGGCCGAAACTCAGACAGAGCACCTTTCCTGCTGGAAGCTTTGGCGCCCAACTTGCACCTGAATTGTTTCTTAGAAGGAGGCTGCTTCTTAGAAGGCGCCGGCCTTACATCTATAGATAAGGTCCGCGCCTTCTGAGACGCAGGGGTGCTTCTAAGAAGGCCTCCCCCCTCCCCCAACCCCCCTCTGCGCGTGGCTGATGAATACCGGAGCACGCAAAGTCACGTCATGGTCAGCACCACGGAGACGGCACGTTCTTTCATCTAGACTAAACAGGGCACTCCTAGCGCGTTCGCGGGGACACGATCAGGTAGGCTGGGACGGGAACAACACCTCCCTCTGCACAGTCCGACGGTCTTGAATGCCCGCGTATGAACCTCAAAGGTGGCTTAGGCCTGTTCCTTCGCTACCTGACCAGCGCCCGCCGCTTGACTCGCGCCTGCAAATCATCGGTCGCATTTGAATGCACGTCTACATCACTGAAGCGCACGACAGAACTCAAAACTCAGGCATGATATGTACACGCAATATACTACTAAACCGAGCTGTGAACACACGCCTACTTCTCATGTAAACTGACGGGGGGAGAAATGCGATGTTGATGATGATGATGATGATGATGATGGTGATGATGATGATGCTGATGATGTTGATGATGAGGATGAGGATGATGATGATAACGAAGATGAAGATGAAGATGAAGATGAAGATGAAGATGACGATGAAGATGAAGATGATGATGATGATGATGATGATGATGATGATGATGATGATGATGATGATGATGCTGATGATGTTGATGATGATGATGATGATGATGATGGTGATGATGATGATGATGATGATGGTGATGATGATGATGGTGATGGTTGATGGGTTGGCAACAGCGCCATGGCCACCGTACCCGCCGAAGAGCGCCCGTGGGCCTGAAATTTGCCCAGGAAACATGGCTGTATATAATTCTACCCGACTGGACGGGGCGACCTTCAGTCCATCGAGGACCCCGGAACTCTGCGAAACCTAATCCCGGAGGTCGAGCACGGCAGATTTCGATCTCACGCGACGGGATTTCCTGGATCCTCTGGCGACCGACATATTATCATAGCAAACTCGAACATCCCCAGTGTCACTACACCGACCTTGCAGACGTGATGCAGCGGATTTCGCGTGGATTCCTGTCAACGCAAAACCAGGAAACGGCGAGTGAAAACGACGCGAATTTCACGTGGAATACATTTAGTCTTCATTCCTGGCCGAAACAAATCCGCACGAAATTCACTTAGAAATCCAGAACGAAATTCTCCAGGACAATCCGGGCCCATCCTGTCGTTTTCCGAACGAAATCCGCTCTGCGATGTTGGCGCCATGACCAGTGGCACGCAAAGCCAGTTGGACCAAAGGAAAACATTCTGCGGGCCCAGAAGTCTGGACCGCATTCGGCAACATGCCCCTAGCAAGGCCGCCTATGGTCTGCCAGGGCCTTGGCGGACGATGGACTACCTGGACCACCCGCATCCAAGAAGCCCCCAATCTCTATGGCGCTTCCCTCCAAAGCCGTCAATCCCCCAACCACCACCATCGACTCTGTCACCGCTGTCCAACCTTCCCCAATCCCACGCAAGCCCAGCAGGCGCAGGCACATGCCCACTGGCGGCATCGACGGGGGAGGCCACGCAGCCCGAAACTGGAGCGCTCAAGACACCTTCAAGCTTGGGGCCCGAGATTCCCCGATCTGGAGATCGCAGCTTAGGGCAACTCGAAACTGCATCTGCAAAACAAGAGTCTGTGGGCAGCTGTGTCAGCCGCACATCCACATCTAGGGCACCGGCCTCTCCGCAGAACCAACCCCCGCATCCAAACCTGCCTCAAACAGCGCTTAGCCGCCCTGCTCCAAGAAAGTTGGCCGCGAACCTTCTGGGGGGCCTGCCAACGAGCACGAGGAAAAAATACGATCGATAAATCCCAGGTTGGTGCTGCGAGGGAACTGCCAACAGACTGGCGAGACAGGCACGGCGTTCAGATCCAGCGTCACTGCCAGAACGGCAGCGATCGGCCCTCGAACCTTCTGCCATCGGCGTTCGGCACCAGGGAATTATCAAGCAAAGTCTGTCAACTCTGCAATGTGCCTATGCTGTCAGCGCCCAGGCCCATACCAAACATCGCAGAACATGGAGAGCTGCCCATAGCGGAGCCTACACCGGGGGCCCACCCTTGGCCGCGCTAACCAGGGGAAGAACCGAAGTCGCGCAGGCCGCAGGTCCCCCCCAACCCGAGACAGCGAGCGCTCGGGCTTGCATCGACTCGATTCAGCCAGGAGTAGGGCCCCAAACGTGGCGCCCCCAAGAACCAACGGACAAAACCCCAGTTGTGTATTGCTTCCGAGCGCCCCCCCGACAATTTTGCGCAGAAGAAACAACTTTCTTGGCCTTCTTTGAGGCCTGGCCCCTGCGCTACACCAGCTGAAAAGTGAGTATCTTCTTACCGGCCGTCGCGAGAAGCCCAAGCTTACTCGGAAAGCCAACGGCACTAAGCTGAAGGCGCAAAAGTTCGACAAAACTCAACATGGCCGCAGACCATA